GTGAGAGTAGCCTCTGATATTTGTTTCTCATACTGTCTTTGTTTGGTTTTTATAACATAGTTATATTAACTTTATAAATAACTCGAGAAGTGTTTCTTTTTTCTTTAAAACTCTGAAATACTTTGGAGTGCTCTTTTTCTTGAACATTTGTTAGAACCTCTAGTATGGGCTTGACGTTTTATTTGAGAGATGATTTTTACTACTGACTTAATTTCTTTAATGGTAATAAATGTATTAAGGTTTCCGATGTTTTCTTGTGTCAGTTTTGATAAGTTCTGTTTTCCTAGTGCATCACCTTAATCACTCAGCCACAACTATGGTCTGTTTTTCTAATAAACTGTTCACTACGTCTAAATTTTAAATTCACTAGCATAATGTTGTTTCTGTAATCCTTTTTTTTTCTATTAATGTCTGCTTTACCTATAGTTAGGTCTGCCACTTTTATTCATGATGTTTATTTTGCCTTCTTTTTTCTTCCTCAATTTTGCTTGAAGCTTTTCTGTTTCATAGAATATGCTTTCATAAAACCATGTTTTGATTCTGTTGACTTTCTAAATTTTATCTTGTTATTTTTGTCTTTCATCTGTTTTAATCTTTACCTTTTCAATTTTTCTTTCAGTTTAATTTATTAATGTTTTTCATAATTTTCTAAGTTGGCTGCTTTGGTTATTAATTTTCAGACATCCTTCTTTTCCAATAAAAGCTATTTAAAACTCTAAATTTCTCTGTAAAATACCACTTTACCCATGTAGCCGCCATTCGTGTCGTAAAACATTCTGTTCTTTCCTCCCCCAACCAATACAAGTATAAGAAATTGAATTTGTTGATTATATTTGAATCCTTTAATCCTTATTATTGTTAGTTGTTGTTTACCTATTTCTTCAAGCTTTGAAAGTACAATAAAATCTTTAACTAAATTTTGTCTTTTTAAGTGCTTTTTTTGGAGATCTTGTTTTATATATTTCACACTATATTGTTCAGTTCATAAAAATCTAATGAGTGGTAATATTCTTGGATTTGAGTATTATGTCTTTATGGAATGTTCTTTGTCTTGCTAATATTTTTTTATCTTGTGTTCTACTTCATCTGATATTTATATTGTCATTTTTAAAATTTTTGTTTATATTATTTCTTTTTCAACCTTTTTTTTTAAAAAAAACCTCTATTATACTTTTAAAAATCAATATTGTAAACAAGATCTATCTTAATTTTAAGTCTGATGTAATTCTAATTATCTTTTAACCAGTTGTTGAATTCATCCCATTCACATTTGTTGTAATAACTGAAATAATTAATTTTATTATTTCTACCCTATTTTTATTTTCGAATTATATTACATTACCCTTTTCCATTTCTTTTTAATTTTAATTAGTTTAGTTTGATTTCACTGGCCTGTTAATTTTCTCTTTATTCCCTTCTACCCCTTGTTAATTTGAGAGTTCTACTAAGCTTTTTGTTTCTATTAGCTTCTCCATTAAAACCAACATTAAATTTATGTTTTTCCCTAACATACATATATATCCCAAAATATTTTTCCTGTGTATCCCTTGTTCAATCTCTGCCTTTGAGGTTCTGCTTAATTAATATTTTCAGTTTGAAGTTGTTGGATTTTTTCTTCTAATATAACATTCCTGTTGTGTTTCAAGAAAACAATATTACAAATTCCAGTTTACACTATCATCCATTTAGATTTAAATGTGTGTGTGTGTATACATATGTATGTGTGCACATACATACATGTGTATATGTATATGGAGAGAGAGAGACAGAAAGATAATAAATATCATTGTTCACTACCACTGGTTCCTCTGGTCTTTGATTTCTCCTTTGATGAGATAGTTGCTCTGAATCAATTATTTTTTGGTTATGTTCTTTCTCAAGTATTGTCCTCAGGGAATGTATGTGAGATGTTTACTTTTTGAATCTTTACATGTTGAAAATGTTTTCCTTTTTCTCTGACAGCTGAATAATATTTTGTCTGGGTATAGGATTCTTGGGTTATTTTTCTTAATAGTCTCTGTACATTGTTCCACCATCTTCTACATTCCAGAGTCGTAGATGAGAATTCCTTCACTAGTCTGAATCTCTTGCCTTTGTATGTAACTTATTCTGTCTGGAAACTTGTATAATTTTCTGTTTATGCTTGAAATTCAAGTATTTCCTGGATTCAATTCCTGAACTTAATGAGCCTTTTAATCTGCAGGTTTAAATCTTGCTTCAACTCAGCATATAGCTATAAAGAAAAGCTAGTACAGTGTTCATTTAATTATAACATCTCCATCTATTTTTTCCTTCTTTTTACTTTTCTCTTTTTTTATTATAAAAAAATCCCTTCTGGAATTTCTGTTATTCTTATGTTAGGCTGCTGGATCTGCCCTCCAAGCCTCTTATTGTCTCATTATTTCTCTCTTTGTGTCTTTGCTACGGGTAGTAAGATGTTTCATTCACCTGGTCTTTCAAATCACTAATTTGATTTTCAGCAGTGCTACTGATTTTTTTAGTTCTGCAGAAATTTAAAGTTTTAAGTTTGAAATCAGTGTTGTTTGTTTAGAAAGTCTTTCTTGCATTTTTTAAATTTCTCATTGCTTTCGTTATTGATGTTCTTTTCCAATTTTTCATCCTTTCAACTTCCATGAGACCTACCTCTTATAGATTTTCTAGTTTTCTTTTCTCAAGTGAACTAGCCTCCATAAGTTAGATATTGTTTTTGTTTTGTTGCTCATCGACTGATGTTCTTTTGATACTTATATAAGTTTTTGTAATTTTTTTTTTTTTTGACATTAACAAATTTGAAAGAAGCCAAAGGTACAGCATTTGCTCCCTGGACATTTGTGATGGCAGTGAACAAACAGTGGCCTCTTCTCCCTGAGGACTGGGCTATGAACTCAGCTCACTTCAGCTGTAAAGAATAACAATGAAGTATTTCCAAATTATAACACTACCTTAAAGGAGAGAACCATGAGTTTAACTTAGAAGTAGCAAGGAAACTTTTGCAGAGGAGATGATTGAACTGGATCATAAGGGTGATTTGGAGTTTGCCAAGTTGACAAGGATGAGTGAAAAGAGCAATAACCAATTAAGACAGTAGGAACAGTCAAAGTGGAGGCATAGAAGTCGACACATGAATGGGGCATTTGGGGAGTGAAGAATTGCCTTTTGTGGTTGGCGTCATTATTTGATCAGCTTTCTCTTCAATTAAATTTTCAGCTTCTGGGAGAGCAGAGGGCCAGGTGTTTTGTATATCACTTGGCCTACCATAGTGCCAAGATCATACTAACTGAATACTAAATGTTTATTGGGTGAATCCATGTGAATGACTGAATGAGATGCACCTAGACTATTGGCCATATGAGATAGGCTTCTCTTTAAAACTGCATGAGCAACCTAGGTTTACCATTTACCTGTGGTAAGGTGGACAAATCATATTCTTTCTTTAGTGCTTCCATTCAATCAGTTTTCATTGTGGCTTGACATATGATTGAATGTGGACTAAATACTGGTGATACAGAGATGATTAGGGCTGATTGTGCTCTGAAGGAGTCCCTAGTTTAGTGAGAGAGATGGAGAAGTGAATGGGCAAAGACAATTACTATGGTAAGTGTTAAGACTATGTCCTGATTAGAACTTGGAGAAGAGGCTTTGAACTCAGCTTGCCCTCCACTGAGGCTTCATGAAAAGGGACAATGCAAGCTGAGTCATGAGGGCTAACTAGGAATTAGATGTCTAACAGGGAAGAACATTTTTGGCAGAATGGAGCAAAGGACTCAGTGCATAAGGAATTCAGAAATCAAGGCCCACTGTGGAAAACTTTTAATAATTCAGTATTGCAGTGGAGAAAGCAAGAGTGGGAATGGTAAGAGGAAATTGGAGGTCAGCATGGTCATATCACAAAGGGTCTTTTAAGTCCCATGAATGATTGGACTTTTTCTGAAGGTGGTAAGGAGCAATAGAAGGGTTTTAATCAAGGGTTGATAGCATCAGATTTTATTTTATCAAGTTTGCACACAATATGGAGAGCAGATTGGAAGGCAGTAGGGCTGTAGGGAAGATAAATAAAGAAGCAGTTAATTACACAGCATGATAAGGATTGTGATAGAGGATGGCTACATGCTTTGGGAGCTCAACCTACCCCAAACTGGGGACTCAGCCCAGGCCAAAGGAGGTATTTTTGAGTAATCAAGGTAAAGAAATTAGGGAGAACTTTTCAAATAGGAATAGGACAAAGTCACAGAAATCTTCAAGAACATGATTTTTTTCCCCAGAGAACTACAAATGATATTTTACTGCTGGAGTGTAGAATATTAAGCATGAGAAACAAAACTGAAAAGGAAAACACCTT